TTATTTTAATTTTTCATTGTATATTAATATTTTCATTCTAAAAAAGTTCTTTAAAAAAAAATTTTTTTTTGTTGTATAAAGTCTTTCTTGTGATTGAACCAATTTCCTAAATTATTTCGTATAGTTTCTTTTTTATAATACTATTTAAACAAACATAATTTCTAAAATTATAATAAACAATCATAATTTCCAAAATTACAAGACTGTTAATATTTACCAGTCAGCCTTTTCAGTTAAAATCATGAATTTTTATTTTATAAACATAATAAAACTTTCAATATTTTTCAGTTGTTTAATAAATCAAGCAAATTATATACATTTATTTTTACATACAGTTACAAAAAAAAAAAAGATATATTCAATGCTAAGCTATTTAAAATTATTTTTCATTTCTCTCAAAGCTCCCATAACTTCAATCGGATCATTCTTTCCAGTAGCTTTCTTAACACTATCCACATTAACCCTCATAAAAGGATTAAATTTCAATTCATCACCGATAGTACTTGGAATAGTTTGTTGAGTTTTGGAAGCCCATTGAATTTTATCTTTAATAACTTGATTATCAGGTTCAATAGATTCAGCAAATTTGAGATTGCTTTTAGTATATTCATGACCACAATAAACTTTGGTGTCTTCTGGAAGCTTTCCAAGAACGTTAATTAAGGAGTTGTACATATGATCAGCGGTACCTTCAAAGAATCTTCCACAACCGGCAATGAAAAGTGTATCACCTTTTTATTTATTTGTTTATTAATGTTATTTATATTTTGATGATTAATTTGTTAGTTTGCAAAAAAAAAAAGAATGAAAAAAAAAATAAGATTTTTTTTTAAACAAATACCAGTGAAAACGACTTTATCATCTTTGTCTTGCAAAAAAAAGCTAACACTTCCTCGAGTATGACAAACGGTATAAAGAGCTTTTGCAGTAATGTTTCCAATACTAAATTCTTCACCATCTTTCACTAAATGATTTAATGCAGGAATATTCTCATCACCACCGTAAACAGTTAAACCTTTACGTTGAGAAGTAAGTTCTTCATTTCCACCAGAGTGATCCTAAAAAACAAATTTTATTTTTAAATTGATTCAGACGATTAATAAACGAATAAAAGGAATCTTGTATATTTTTACCGCGTGATAATGAGTTGTGATCAAATGGTTAAGGTTTGCTCCATGCTGTTCAATCACAGGAAGTAATTTTTTAGGTTCTACTGGGTCAACAACCGCAGCTATTGAATAAAGAAATGAATAAGTTTTTTTAATTCATTCGGAGAACTTTTATGCAAAGTTAAACTTGCCTTCCTTTGTACTTTCGTCAATAATAACGTACGCATAATTGTCTTGCAAGACTGTAATAAAATATTAATATTGTTAATATTACCATTATTATAATTATGAAACAACAAAGGCAATTGATATAACGACGAAAGTTTAGCGTAAAGAATACCTGGGACCGGAATAACTTTCATTGCGTTTGTTTTTGTCTATGTGGGAAAATTTAACAGTTTTATGTAGGAAAATCTTTCGATTCGCCATCAATCGTCGGAACCGATAAAGGGTAGATCTGAACCTTACCTGGAAAATCATTCGATTTCCACGTTTTTGGGTCAGAACCGTTTTTAAGTAATTAGTTAAGCTAGCTCGAAACATTATTAAGAGTGAAGAAAAAAAAAATTTTTTTTAATATGTAAACATGTAAATTGATGTTATTTTAAAAATATGATGTGCGCATTGATATGTACGTAATACAATACGATCTGAACAATATAGTAATATCTAAACCAAAGTTACACTTCATTTTTCTTTGCGAACAATGCAACACAAAAGATCAATTCTGGATTTTCTGTGTCATATGGAACAAACATTACATGAATTTTTACCGGTTTCGGCTCATTTTAAATAATCAGTACAACGACCAAGTACTAGTCATACCGAAAAGGAGACGTGTCTTCCGGTTGAATTTGTTCATTGGTAAATTTTTTTGAAAAAAAAAAAAAAAAAAAAAAAACAAAAAATCCCGTTTCCTGTTATTTTCTAGTTAATTTCTCGTTTAAACCCCAAATTTTATCCCTCAAAATAAATAACAGGGTTAAAAATATTATATACTGCACACCAACACTTTTTTTTTGTTTTTTGTTTTTTTTTTTTATCCCGCTATCCAATCCAATAAACGAATAAACATCCCGAACCCTTTGTTAAATATCTATGGCGAATAGAGAGCAACTTACTTCTAACGCGAATCCTCAGAAAGTTCATCACAACCTCGGTATGCTCATCCAACCTCAGCAGGTCCAGGCGAGAGATAAGCTGCAGCAGGTAGGGGCTCTTTTTCTTTCTTCGAGTTAAGTTTAAGAGTTGACCAGGAAAGTTAAAAGTTACTCGGGTGACTTTATGAAAGACTTGAAAAAAAAAAAAATTTTTTTCAAAAATAGGTTTTAATAGATACAGTATAACAATAGTGATAGGTTCAAATAACCTTTAAGACCTTCCTATATTTGGTATCGTTTAGTTTTAACATTATTATTTCAAAAATTTTTATATTTATAGAATATTTTTGACGAGAAACGACATAAAAAAATCGTATCACGAAGGAGACCAATGGAGAATGAAAAAGAAAGACAAAAAGCTAAATATGAATCTTCAAGTGTGAGTACATAAATAATAAAATACTTTTATTTTATAAATATTAGCTTTAATATAATTTTTTTTTCTTTCAGACTGAATTAAAAAATCTCTTGGCTCAATTTGGTACAAAAGCAAAAGTTGCAGATGAACTAGAGAAAGATGCATCTAAACTTCATAGTAGTATAGAAAGTTTGTTAGAAAAAGTTCAAAGCAAAACTAATAAGGTAGGCTTTTAACTCGTATTTATTTATTTACATGAATTTCAGATTTACTTTATATTTACGATTTTATATTGCTTATATAGTTACCATCCACAGTAATAGAACAGCGACCCACTAATAGACTTGTAAAAATATGGAAAGAATTTATATCTTACGTTTTCTTTCCATTTAAACTAATATTAAATGTAATAAGACGACTATATTGCGGGATAAACTGTACAGTAATTCTAATGATTATACTATTAATAGAGTGTTTTGTTATTTTCCTAATTTGGACGTAAGTATCTTTTTATTTTCCTTTCTTATATTAACATACATTTATTCTTTATTTGACATCAATTTTATTTATTTAACAGAATTAAGAGATCTCATAATATATACATGTACGTTGAACCATACGAACCGATTGTGCACGGAACTTATGATACTGACCAGACCGAATCTTGGAAATTATTAAGGACAATAACAAATCTAATATTTGATTTTTTTTCGGAAATCATGAGCGGGGGTCGTGGGTTTGGCAGTTCAAGTTACGATGGATCCGTTCCAATATGATATTTAGATTTGTAGAAAATGCACTAGATTGTAGATCTCGTTTGTTAATAAATTTGATTTGTATATACGGTTCGATAATATATTAATTCAAAAAAATACTAATATGTTACAAGAACTAGCATATTCCACGAGGATAGTATGTTAGTTCTTAATTAGAAGAGAAAAAGACAAAAGATTTTAATTTGTATTATATACAAGGGTTATGACGGGAGGATTACACACCTTTTCACTTGTACATATTGTTAAGTTTTTTTTATCTCCTTTTCTTGCCAAATAGTTTTGAATTTCTTTTTTTTTTAAAAAAAAAAAAAACCTTGTTTCTAATTTCACACACACTTGTACACATACACAGTAAACAATTAAAAAATTCATCAAGCATTAAATTGCACAATTTTGGGTCCAGTTAACGGTAGACAATATCATGACTGCTACAAGGATTCCTACAAGGACTCATAATTATAGTAAGTTATTAAGTAACATCTGTTCTCCTTCGCTTGTTTACATATAATTCTAAAATTTCTTAAGATTTATTAAAAATCTCCCTTTAAAAAATCCTATCCAATTTAATATAGTTTTAAATTGGATTATCCGGGGGAGTAGATCAAAAAATATGAACGGATATTGATACGCTCTCATGATCATAGATTGTCATCTGATGAGCTACTTTTATTCCGTACAATCTTTTTTCTAAATATAATTTAATGACCCTTAGATGGCTTTAATACATCAATTTTAGTTGCTTTATTTGACAGTTCATTGTTACATCGTGAATACGTAATGAATTGTTAAAAATTGACGAATTGTTAAAAATTAAACTTCAGCCATTTTAAGCACATTTTGACAGGATTGTAAGTTAAAAATTAAATTGCATTTAGTGAGAGTCTACACTTTAAGTAAAATTCTTATACGTACGTACATATGTACTTTAATATTTGGAGTCAAAAAAATTTTTTATTTAGAGAATGTATACGTATGCAAACGAAGAATTTATATAAACTAGCATAATAAAAAAGTCTCGCAGCATGAGCCCTCCGATTTGACTCAGTACCGACTCAGTACCAATTTGTCCAATAACAATACCGATACAGAAATCGTGTGATACAAGTGACTAATCAGAAATGTTTAAATGTACATACCCGAGATAGGAATCCTCCCGATTCAGAATTCGGCCGTCCCAATTCAGATAGCCGGATTTAGAATTATTATATGGGGAATGGACCAGGAAAACCATCGTCTGACACTTGTTTTCATGTAGGGGTTTTTCTGGTCCATTTCTTATATGGGATTCCCGGCAGGGACGCCGAAAATTATGGATCTTAATTTTCCATAATTTTTGGTGAAAATCCATAATTTTGGGAGTTATCGAGTTATCCATAAAAAACCTAATAATTCCTATTAATCTGATTGGCTGGGTTCATAAAATTCAAAATGTCGAAAACTTCGGGATGACGAAATTTTGGGCAATAATCCAAAATCATGTGATGTCATGTGATCTGGTCCGAATTATTAGATTTAATTTCTTAATGCCGGCCAAATCCAAAAATTTCCAAAATTTTTAAGTTGTCCAAAAAAAAATTCGAAAAAAAATCGGCATCCCTGATTCCCGGCGTAATATATTAATATTAGTATAACGAGCTGGGTACTCCTGTATAAGAATTCTAAATCCGGCTGCCTTGATTCTGAATCTGGATAGTCAGATTCCGAACCGGTCAAATTTTTATTAGAGGTACAACATATACAGTCGTGCTCCCATATAATCACCTTCTCTATAATCACATCATATAAAAACCTCTCTATATATCACATTTTTATTTAAAATAATTTAATATTAAACATAAAAAAATACCTTTATAAAAGCACAACCTCTTTATAAGCACAGTTTTAAAAAAAGTTCTTAAGTAAAAAAAATGTATGATTATATAGAAGCATGACTGTATATATAGTTGGTTAAAGTTTTTTGTTTTTTTTGAATCTTAAAGTGATAGTTGGTTAAAGTAAATAAATAATTGTTATAATTAAAGTTAAAAATAGCAAGTTTTATAGTTTAATAAGTTTAATAGTTAAGCTTTCAAACTTTTACAAATAAGGTTAATAGTTTGAGTTGAATTGAAAATAAATATTTTATAAGAGTTTTTAAAAATTATATAATTTTTTGTTATATATTAAAATTTTTTTTTTTTTTTTTAATATTAATGGTGAGACCATGTCTCTAACTTTATTAAAATTTAATTTGATTCTTCTACAA